GTACGTGCTGACAGACTGGGTCATCCTTTACATAACGTTACAGTTTATAGGAGTTGGCGTCTTGCAACAGTCTTATTCTTCTTCATCTTCTTTTTCTTAACATTTGCTTTTTTTTTTTTGTAAAAGCATCTGGTACTTTGTGTTCTGGTTTACAGCTGGGGCTCTGTGACATCTTTTCCCCTCAAACTTATGGACATTATCCATGACAACGAAGAGATTGCATAGGATTTTAAAACAAACTTTTTGAATGAGCAGACTGTGACCTCCAAATGGCACATAATATCACAACAAGACACTGATCATAATACAAATGAATTGTTGATGATAATGATGATGATGATGATGATGAGCGGAGTTGCGAACACGGTGCAGTGTGGTTTTTCCATAATGACTCTGTCCATATATTCAGCAGCCAGAACAGGGCTCCAGTATTAAAAGTTTAGTAACTATCGGGTTATACGTCCGTCTTGCCTTTTCTCTAAATATTGAATGTCATTCAAATCGATTAGTTCCTCTTCTCTGTCCAATACACACGAAAAAAATATGGCGCCAAAGCTATGGTTATGGGCTTGTGGGCCAAGACTTTATTCGCATTTAGAATCAAAATTTATTCGAAAATTGTGTACGTGGTCCGATTTGTTCGTATGAGAAGGCGTTCGTGGTCCTAGGTAGGATTGAACATTCTTTAGCATTGTTCGTTGGATTCCAAAAAAAAAAAAAAAAAGACATTTTACACTTCTGCCTAATACATCAGTTCACAATCCAGCGGCAAAAAATCATCTATCTACTTTTCATTCGTGTCCCAAAATACTGAGCGAATACTGGTTTAGGAAATAGGATGACTGACTAACTTCATCTTCTATTATTTGTTTTTAACAAGTGCATAGTTTCTTCTTCTTCTTCTTCTTCTTCTTCTTCTTCTTCTTCTTCTTCTTCTTCTTCTTCTTCTTCTTCTTCTTCTTCTTCTTCTTCTTCTTCTTCTTCTTCTGCTTTTCTATCAGTCAATAGGACAAACACCCGCAACAAACTCATGCAATTCTTTCTGTCCTTCGCTATCGCATGCAGCATTTCAAATTTCCCAGTAATTATTTTACCGTCAATCCCTAGCTCCCTTCTCGGTGCGTATTTAGTCGTTTTCAATTTCTAAGCCCTGTTATGTAGTTTTCAGGGTTTTTTTTTTTCGACGTCTGTCCTATCCTCAGACAGCGTCTTTTCGTCACCTCTTGGTCCACTGGGGCTTGTTTTGTTCTCTCGTAAATCTCTACATCAGTGATTCTACCACACCATTTAATTTCCTCTATTCTGAGCAGGCACCGGTTAATGGATGTATTTAGTTTTTTAGTGTTTTCCCTAATTGCAAGAGTAATCAGTCTACTGTCAGTAAAATTTGGAGAGGCGACAAGAGACATCCCTGTCAAACACATTCCCCCCCCCCCCCCCCTAAGTGTATCTGTTCGCTTTACCTCAAGAAAAAATCGACATTTCATATCTTCATATATTGCCTTTACCAAGGTAATTTTGTTTAAGATTCCATACTGACCCATTAATTTCCTGAGAGAATTCCTATATGTGCTGTCCAAAGCCTTGTACATAAATTGAAATGATTTATTTTGTGTCCCTTTAGCTGCCTCTGGATCCCGTCCCAGTGCCTGCAATGGTGACAGTGGTGGCCCACTAGTCTGCAACGGTTATTTGGCTGGTATCACCTCCTGGGGAGTGTCCAACTGCAGTGGTAATGCTCTTGTTTATGTTTGCATATATTATTGTAAAAGCTTATTAGGCTTACATCACTCCTTTATTCGGTTACATAACAAAAAATATTTCTGTATAATATTACTCAAGGTACTTAAAAAAAAAAAATCAAGATATTGGTACAGAAGAGTCTTTTTTCAGAGGGTAGGCAATTGTATCGGTTTTTTAAAATTCATTTTATTTAAGGAATCATTTTCTTTTCTGCTATAATATACACTATGTAATGAGTATTGGCAACCTTTGGTTTTAATAAATTTAATGTACTTGTAGCTCTGATGAAAACTGGTGACTTGGCATCATGATACATCTGAAATATTGTCTCTGGGGTAACATTCAGTGTCTATTTTAATTCACTCACCGTCCCCTACAACTTGGCTTCCACATGTGTTTCTCTTGGCGAGAAGATTTGCTTTGATATGTTGTATTTGTCGCCCCGTTGGATGAAGCGGTCAGTTGTCCCTGGTGCCAGTCCACATGGCTGATACGCCAATCTTAAATACAAATTAAAAATAAACCTAATGATGTACAACAGACCCAATGAACCTCCTGGAAGCTATATAGTCCTCAAAGCTTTAAACTCAAATCAAAACTGAGAGGGTTACGGAAAGCTGCACTTTTGAATGTATTTTCTTGAAAGCATTTATGGGTACAATTTAGCTTGAGGCTATCTACCGTATTAACAAATATGTGAACTATGTCTGCAGGCAACTACCCAAGTGTGTACGTTCGTGTGTCGGAGTACCTTGACTGGATCGCAGCGAGAGTCTAAACACGCTAAGAAGGTCCTAGTAAACGTGCAGAACAACAGTACTGTATTTCCATATACATCTCTGCATTAGAGTCTAAATAAAACTACAGATAAACATTACTTGTTTTTTTTTTTTATCATATTGTCTGTATTGTTAGTGAATTCCATTCTGTTCGGCCTTTAAAATGTAGTAAACTCTCTAAGGTTATAAGGTATAATAAAAATATTACATAATCATATAGTATTATTATTGTTAAAAGTATGCTTTGAACATAACAGAATAGTAATGGGTTATTGATCCACCATTGGGGCATTAGACATATGGCGCTAGACTCATAATACTAGACAAACTAATACTCCATGGTTGATTCACTCTACCTCATGTCTGCCGCCTTTACTTTCTGGGATATTCCCTGGTACTAAGTTTAGGCTTGGCAGAATTGTGGTCGGTTCGTTTGACCACTGATTCCATGTTCTAGGTTGAGCCATCAGAAATAGCAGGTCTGACCTAGTCTAATAAAGAATAAATGTGTTAATTAGGAACTCAAATCACTGTTCTCAGGACATTACCACACGGGCTCCGTCCCAATCTTTAGCAGCCAGCCGAAGAGTCGACATTGTAATAGTACCCCTTACAACCTGACCCAACGTGATGCTGACCACATCACCCATTTTGTGCTGATTGGTCTATAAAATGTAGGTCTAGTCCTACATGCCCCAAACGCCTAAAGGCGTGAAAAAAGGGTCCTTTTTTTTTTTTTTAACAACCTGACTAAAAGTCTGCTTTCCACCTTAGTGCTCTGATACCTTTCTCATGCAACTTTCATTCAAGGGACTCCAAACCACCTTTAGGGTACAACGCACTCACTAAGCGCCTATAATTATAATAATAATACTTAAACCTCAGTCTGTGCTGAGTTACAGGCACACCAATAATACAGTTTGCTGTCACTTAGACATCCATAAGTCACACCTAGCTTTCCCCTATAACTCAAAATTATTTTGAAATTTTTTTTTGGAAAACACACGTCTGAAGTTCAGAGCCGTATCGCCACAAAGGCTCGACTGAATTGCGTTGTTCCTGCTGAACGCACATCTGAATGCTCTGAGACATACAAGAACGTCAAACCGTCAGCGGGGAGTTCTCATTTGCATACATTAGTTTTGTTTCTGACAGCGCTTTGCTAATCCAGTTTCTACATATTGGCTGTAGTCTACTGAGTTTAATGCTTGGTTCAACCCTGTGGGACATGTTTTTGTTCATTTGGAATGCCTTTCATTTATGCAGCGATTGAGACGTAGCATTCAAAAGGGCCAATAATCGGTTTAAGCGTCTTGTCTTGTCGTGTCCACAATTGCCTCACAGCGTAGTGGGGAGTCGCAGTCATCTATCCTGGGCCAGGTGTGTTGCACGTGTTGTTGTTAGTCCGTGTTGCCTCAGGATCTCTGATATATTGTCTATCCATCGTACTCTCGGTCTACCTCTTGCTCTAGGGCAGTAGTGCTGTTCGTTGTATGCTCGTAGAGGCAGTTGGTCGGTTTGCATTTGCATCAAGTGGCCAAATCACTCTATTTGTTGCTTCTTTATGTATTGCAGGCATGGTGTGGTTCCTACAATTGATCTAATGTTCTCGTTTCGAAATCTGTCTCTTTTTGTGACATTGGCAGCCTTACGTTAGCATCTCATTCCGCACGTCGTGATCTTTTTCTCTTGTGCTCTTGTTAGGGACCAGGTTTGACATTGGTAGCAGATGGTTGGTATAAACATGCAATTTATCAGTTGTCGTTTTAGTGCCACAGTGATGCTTGGGTGTTTTAGCAGTGGGGAGAGTTGGTAAGTTACTGCGTTCGCCTTTTGACACCTTGCCTCAAGTTCCCTATCAATTCTTCCATCATCTGTGAAGATGCTCCCCAAGTATTTAAATTGCTGCACTTAAGTGTTGTTTAAGTGTTGGCTGGTGAAATACACGTTGTACAAATTCTGAGTAAGCTTAGCTAACTGGTTATGCCCGACTAATTCCGTCAACGACAGACTGCATACCCGGTTGTCTCTGTTGGCTCTGACGCATTGAGCGACTGCCATATGCATTTACTGCGACTGCAGATTACTGGATTGTGTTGCGACTGATGTTGACAAGTTTTTTTTTTTTTTTTTTTCGAATGAGAGAGTAAGGGACATGTCATTTTAATTTCGCTGGCACAGGAACGGAGCAAGTATAGCAGTAAAGACTAAACCTCGGCTAAGACTAACACTACAACTTCTCCAGTCAACCATGATAAGTGCGTACTGTCCTGGTATAAGGCGGGCATTCTAAACAGTCAATATCCATTTGTCAGAAGGTTTCTCCTTTCTCATGCTAAGTTTAGAACCATGCTTTGTCAATGGGACTTTTCGTCATTGACAATCTATCTCCATTGTATCACTTCACCACGCCCTTTCTGCATAAGGAGGGTTGAAGTGGTAAAGATAAATCCTTATGAAACTTCAGGTTCTCTGTAG